TATATCAATAAGTGCTCGAACTATCGTTTACACGGCAACTGATGTGGTGCAGTGGTTAGCACTGCGTACACAGATGGCTCTCGAGTCTGACGCCCCGTCTATGGTACTTATTTGGGGTACACAGCTGTGTTCCGTCAATTATGATTAGCTGTTTTACGAAAACTACAAACAATAAAACTTTGGCAAAATTTATTTGCATAATTAACCATAGTTGGTTTATATTAATTTAATACAGTTTTGTTTGTTTAAACAAAAAGAAAAACCAATTCACTTTAAAGAAATTAAAAATATCCTGGATACAAACAAAAGTTAAAACCACATTACTTTTTTACAGCGATATGTGAGCTATTTGTTTGAGCCTGTAAGTCATTTAAAGAGCCTCCAATGCTTACTCCACCCGCTGATGCTGTACTAGTATTATGAGAACTCCCGCGTTTTTGATGTTTGCTTCCCCGTACGTCGCGTTTATCGACACAACCTTCAAGAACTCCGTCCAAATTCTGCTTCATCCCATCCATATCGGCCAGTTGTACTAGTTTTCCATTTTGAAAAACAGCTGCCTGCACATTGGGATTTTGATTTTGGTTTTGTAGAGGTACATGTGAATGTCCTTGGCCATGATTTTGACCTCGCGCCTGCATTTTATTCGGTTTCGCGCGATGCTGTACAGCAATCGAACTTGTAATAGGTTTCAGGACATTTCCAACCGCTTTAGTACGACCCTCTCGGAATACCATTCTTTGTCCCACTCGAATATATTCTGGGTGCTTAATGAAACGAAATTTTACATGCGCCTTATCGCCAGTCCGTAGACAATCTTTCGACATATTGATAATAGACGCCGTTTGTCGAATACTTCCACAGTGTACCATGGCTTGATATCGAGAAGATATGGTTGTTGGGTGATGAAGCACCAAAATTTCGCCTTCGAATTCCCAGCAAGCTTGCGGTTTTAAATCTGGACTAACCATTACCTAAAATAATGTGTAATTAGAATGACACAAATAGTCTGACATTCCTTTGATTGGTTACCATTCCTTTACGTATTTGAGATCGTTTAATCTTTTTTAAAGCAAAACTGGCGGTTTGACCGCCTCGAACTTCTTTGACGTTCATACGTTTGCGATGAATGCTCTTTACTGCGATTGGTATAAAGCTGCCCAGAGCATCCGGGCCCAGCATTAGTGTATCATTTAATTTTATGAGGCCTTGTAGACAGGTTCCAGAAACAACTGTGCCCACGCCAGGTACTGAGTAGGTGTCATCAATTTGAAACTCTGCCGGTAAGTTGTCTTGTCCTGTCATTCGTGTCGTCAACAAATTTAAAAACATTTTTAGTAGCTCCAAATTATCGCCAGTAACATTAGAAACTTGGAAAATCGGGCACAAACGCTGCGAAACAAAATTGGTGGCACTTAAAACCACATCATCAGCGTTTTTTACCATTACAGGTACTTTGCGACAACCTTGTGACTTTAATATTTTGAAAAGTAGTTTTAAATTGTCTTGTAACACATTAGGTGGACACATATCAATTTTAGTAACGACTACAAACACTGGTACAGACAATGCTAACGCCAATCCTAAATGCTCTTTTGTCATACCAACGATTCCAGCATTGGCACCTATCTAAAATATATGTATTATTTCATTAAGAGGAGTTTATGTATAATCATTGATAAATTTTAATACCATAAGCATTCCGAAGTCGGGGGCATGCCCTGTCATACCAAATACTGTTGTTTTCAAATAGCGTTCGTGTCCTGCCAGATCAATGAATGTAATCACCTTAGCGGACTTTTCGCAAATCTTAACCCAATCTAGAGTGCCATGATCAGGTTTATTAACAACATTCCCAACACTATCGAAACCTGGAGAAAAAATGTTGTAGTAAAAAGTGACTCCCTTGTGAAGATTTAATTAGTATAACACACCTAATATGTCATTCCCCACAGAGCTGGTGCGTCCAGTTTCCATTTCATGTTTGTGTCGAAATAAGCGTTGTCGAGCATGGCCTCGTCCGTTATCCAACTCGCCATGTGTAAGTACCCCAAGAAGCGTAGATTTGCCTGCATCAACATTGCCGACCACAGCCACACTGTTCAGAAAGGAAAGAACTGGAAATTCATAACTGCGCAGCTATTGCTTCTAACGAACTTGAATTCGAATTCAGTTGGTTCTATGACTTACCGTATCTCCATAAAATCAGAGGTATCGACTCGTTTTCTTACCAAATACTGGCCAGCCAAACCTTTTCCAACTTTGCGCTGTCGTAACAATACTACATCCGCATCAATTGTTGCGGCGAGGGACTGCAACGTCGCCACTGATGCGCGATATTCTTCCTCATCCAATCCATTATCACTGCCATCTGAGTGTGAGATGGAGTTATTCATAATCGATAGATGACGTTAAGATAAGTTTACCTTCGCCTATACCAATCTCATAGATGGTTTCCCCGCGGCAATCAACTATACGCTCTTCTAGCCTCCGTTTCAGCAAGTCAAACTGCTCTTCTGTAGGACTAACTAACACTTTCGTGCCACAAATACTTGAATAATCAACTTTAGGACTGTGGAGTTGATCAAAATCAACAGCATCTGCTAATGTCAAGCCGACTGCACTGTGTGCATCTACTGGCGACAAATGGGTGCTCTCACTCATATTTTTTTTTACTCGACCTTTATTTTTTTCTGAAAAATTTCTGATCATTTGACGCATCCAGAGTCATTTCCCTGCAAATAACTTGTTCTTCTGCTTCCCCAACAGTTTATCTATAAATAGATGTAAATATCGTATATGTAATATAGTGGTAAACATGGGCGTAGCCAGGTAGGGGCGGGGGGGTGCTCGACCCTCCCCCTAACTTTGAAATTTTCCTTATATATATATAAAATAGTACCCTGAAATGCCAGCTTAATAGGGTCGAGCCCCCCTAAATTTCATTCTGGCTACGCCGATGGTGGTAAATGTAATCAAGTTTAATCAATTTATAAAGTTGGTACATATACAAAAAGACTGATGGAAAGACACATAACTTCACCATTTTTGGGAAGTTTAGTTGTCTGTTAGACTGAATATTATCCTTATCAAGCTTATTAATTGATAATAAAAATCTCCAAAGTTCTTATTTTTTAATTACTTCTATGTATGTATTATAAAACGTGCGGTATATGTATTCATGTAAGCACATTGAATTATGTCAATATATACGAATAAACATACAAATGTATGTATATGCATATTTTTATAAATTTGACCACGATTATAAATCACCCAACTTCGAAATTTATCGACAAATTTGTGTTAAGTATTGAAGTACTATTCATTGTGCCGTCGGTTACAGACTGAATGTGATCATATTAAGCTACAACACTTAAATATGTATATGAACACCGTTTCTTGGAAAGCCTGATGCAACGAAGCTGAATTTCATGCAAGTTAGTTAATGAGCAACCAAGTTATGGTGTAGGTGTATAAGTATATTTTTACAAAATCATATATACAGAAGTATATACATATGTACATACGTACTAGGGATGTTGCGAATGCGCGGATCCGCGGATGCGGATGCGAATGCGGATGTCAAGAAACAATTTAGGTGAGTAAATTAGGTGATTTAGGTAAATAAAAAATGGAAAGGTTAGTAATTTTTAATGTGTTTGCTATAACTACTCGGTCGAGGCGCCAAACTTGAAAAACGTGAAATTTTAAACTGCCAGAAAGTCCTTTTTACAGATTTGCAGAAATCACTTTCGAAATTAAAAATGGCAATGTGTAACTGCAACTGAAATTATGCAACTCCCTTTCGAGAAATAAATAAAATTATAAAAATGTTGAATAAAGTATGTGTAATTAATTTATTCTACTGATATGGAGTATTTAAGTATTAATGTCTTATATATTTTGTGACGGTTTTGTGGACATTTTAGTAGGTTTAGCAAATTTTTCAGGTCATTAATTTTTTTATAAGCATAAAAATATCTGGTAACATAGTCGAAAGTGGGCTTGTCTGCATTCACAGTGTAAACCGACAAAAAGTAGATCGTAAAGTTTGATTTTCAGAAATAAAGTGCTTTCAAAAGTCACTTTACATGCAAGGTGTAACTGCTCCTGCAATCTCTCTTGGAAATTCTTGAGTTTGACAGACTTTTGAAAAGGACTTGCGCTTGCCACGTCTAACAGCTACTTTAGAATGTTGTGCAATGATGTCTCTTAAAAAGGGCTGGCCAAGGACTGTCACTCCAACAACACTCCCCAAAAAGTCTTTAGGGAATTTGTATGTTGCTACAACAACAACAACAAGTCCCTTGGAACATTTTTTCCATCGTGATATTTTTGTTAAGATTACTTTTAAACGATTTTTTAACGCAAATAAAAGATGAATGTTATATGGGCATTCCCATGGTGGCGCACGTGACAGTCGTACGATTTCAATGTGATACAAAAAAGGAATACCATTTGTTTTCTTTAACTTTTTTGGGCCGTTGTATAGCACATAATTAGCTCTATATTTAACCGAAAAATGAAATCAATCGAACTGCTTGGTCCTGAAATATAAGTATTTAAAGAGAGTGTCGTTACGTGACAAAAAATGGAAGTTGATTTTTTTTCTTACAAAATCGCAAAACTATTTTCATGAAACTTATTTTAATATGATTTGGAGCAATTCTAGTTGTTTTTAGAGTTTTTTGAATTAATGCAAATTGTTTCAATTCTCTTTTACAACCCCAAGTGTGAAACGTGACGTGACGTGGCGTCACGTGACATAAATTTCCATCGTTATATTTTTGTTAATATTGCTTTTAAATGAAT